AATTCATTCATTCTCTGCATTTTCTAGATGTAAGTTTGAGACCCGCATGAGGAGCGCACGTCATGATCACACTACAGGCATACAAAGACTCGACAGAACCGGTGCGGTCGCCCCCACCCGGCTCTTTCTCTCAGGCCCGGCCTGCCACGAAGCTCATTTGAGCAACGAGGACCAGGAGCATCCGCATGGCCTGATGGACCTGGGAATGCAAGGCGCTGTGAGTGAGTTGGAGGAACTTGAGCTCTTACGTGGCTGGGCAACTAATGTGCCTTCTTCTACTTTCCCGACTTTCCCTTCTGATCCTTCTGTGGGGATGGTTCGAAAGGCCCCTTGATACAAACCCAGGAACGTATTCCTTGAGGAAGGGGCGGTGTGGTAATATACATGTGTCCATGGCCGCGTTGATGACGAGGTCTTGTTTCTATATCTATTTTCTGTTGAGTGGCTCTGAAGGCAGCTTTTGTGCAAAAGAACACACAACATCAAGATGATTCGTTTTTTCTACCAGTGGTTGATTAATGTCCCTTCACACTGTCCAGAAGGGTTCTAGCCGCCTCTTACAAGTACCAGCACAGCTGCAAACAGTACCTCGACCTGTCCACTCGCCATGACCTTGAGGCCATGTCTTCGTATCCCTGCAGCGACCAACATGGGCCATGTAATTGAACTCTAGACTCCCTGAAATCATCCACTTCCATGAATCATTTCAAGGAGTGAGAGCTCCTCATGTCTCCGCTGAGAGCTGCACCGGATGTCTCCTGGTGAAGCTGGGGAGGGATCTGATTCGGGAGTTGGATGTGACATGTTGATTGCCCCGGCTGTTGGTCTGCTTGGCTCACTGCTGGTCCGCTGGGAAAAGCAGTTTGGGAGCTTCTACTTACATCAAAAGGTAGGGCCAATCACCTAAACCCCAATCGCTCTACCTTCCCGAAGTACCTGATCGGTTTCCTCCACGTTTGGTGGTTGACCTGATCTGGTGCCCAGAATCGCATAAAATAGCTGCCCAGCCGCTCCCAGAAAGCTCATCACTTTTGAAGAGCTCTTTTTGAAGTTGCTGACCCTTCAACCCCCCAAGCCTGAGGAGGTTTTAACATCATGAATCATTTACAGCATCCATGTCTGGGGGAGTTATTAATCCAGAGTCTAGATATGGTCAAACACCAGCCTTGGAGGTCTCTAGTGTCACCGGTCTACCGTTTCGTCCCGCTCCATCGCGGCGACCGCCGGGCGAAGCAGCTGAGGCCGCTGGAGGCCCGCGCAGGCCTCGGGGCGAAGCAGTTTCTCAGATACTCCCAGTTTGACCCCCTCAAAAAAGAAAGGAAAATAGATCAAAACCCATCAGGCTAGGAGCTCTCCCTTGAAACAATATGGTTCTCCAAAATGGTCTGAAAACAGGACCCTCCAAAACCCACCCATCCGTGACGTTGCAAGGCAGCACAAACATCTAGTTCTTCAAACAAAGGACAATATAGGCTGTATAGGATTGAATTTGTAGATCCATTGGGGTTTCCCTGAGCCACCTTTTCTCGGGCTCGACCTTGGGACCAGTCTGAGACATGAACAACATTGAACAACTCTCGGGGACAGTCATTGCACAAGGAATCCCAAGGAGGAGTTGGCAACATGTGCAAAGCAAGTTTTGTTCACTGATCGGGGCAACATCTCCAATCCAATGCTCTGGCTTTCCCATAAAAGACGTGGGTGGGTGCAGCTTAGTTGATGTTTATATATAACTACCAATTTCAACCCCACGGTGCATCTCGGAAGATCGCAGGTTGTGTGGTGTGATGGTGAGAGTCCAAGCCGCTTCAGTTGAAACCTGACAACACATGATCTGCAATCCAAAGACATGTCATCTGTCTTCATGTTCTACAAGTTTTCTTTGCGGGGTGTCAAGGTAGTGGACTACACCCTGTGTACCCTGGCTCTCCTTAGATACACCAGTACCGTATATACCTATTGCTTGTTCACTAGGTATCCCACCTATTCATCAACCAACCAAGGGCGTAAAAGATTGCAAAAGGCCATTCGTGGCATCGACATGTCCATGGATCTGTTCATGTCGGTGGCTCGTACACGATTGAATCTGAGGATCTGCGTGGCACTGCCACAGCTTCTGTTGATTCTGTATGTGGAATCTTTGCTATACAAAAAGCAACCATGGCAATCCTCTTCCTTAAAGGCAAAACATATTTGGAACTCGACTGGGAATAAGCCTCGGACGCGCTGTTTTCGGCGTGCCACCGCGTAACCATGGGGGGGTGGCCTGCAGCAGGCCCAAATATCTGTGTCAGTGTTTTCAATGCTGTTTAGCTGCGAAAATCCGTTGACCTTGGTTCAAGCGACTGGGAGCAGGTTTTCAACCCAGCCGGGGAGCCCAAAAATTTGTACAGTATATCGAGTATATGGTTCAGCTATCAAAGGGGACGGTAGTTCTTACTTCTGGAATGACCAAGCAGCTCATGGAGATGAGGATTTGATAAAAAGGGTGAAGAATCCCAAAGCATCAGGCGGGTGGAACGTGAGCCGAGGTGGCTGAAGGATCCAGCTCCTGGCTGATCCTAAGTCTGTATCAGAGATGACTTTCATTTGGCCAACCAATCATAAACCAAAAACAAATCCCAAGAAAGTTCAAACATGTACAAACCAACAATCAACCAACCAATCCAATCAAACCAACAATGTCTTTCATCACTTTGGTGTCCCCCGACGCCAGGCACGTCTAACATTCCAGGGAGGACGCCGTGAACCGCGTCGTTCTACGGGCTGAGTATGTGCGGCAAATGTTGGGAACTTGGTCGAGCATCCTCATTTTCCAGGTGTGTCTGAAGATTGGTTGCACTGGTGCAAAGAAGATGTACCTTCACCGAAGAAGTGAGCAACAAACAAAAGGGCTTCGGGGAAACGGAGTCACACAAGGTTCCTTCGAATTTTCCGTGCCACCACAAGCCGTGCAAATAGGGCAATTCCCTGAAGATAGTCACATGTGCTCTGTCGCTACTCCAACACTGGTTGTTCAACAGAGAAGCAACACAGACAGAGCCGCTACTCGAACAACAAAATATACCAGAAGTCTTATTATGTCTTATTCAGTTCCAAGCAAGAGCTGCTCAAGCTTGTCGAACATGTCACCACTCACCACGACACCAAAAACACATCCAACTCCAACCAACAACCAGTAGATCACCAAACAGCCCAAACAAACAAAGAATTAAACCCACATCGCAAGAAAGAAAACAACAGCCACCCTTCTGCCGATTCGTTTTGCACGGCGCCTCCCTCACAAGGGCTCGGACATACACGGAACCCCCCCTCCTCCTGTTCAAATCACGTGAGTTTCTGCTACTGTGACAGTGAGCTGCCTCTAAAACCAAACGAATATCTAGTTGATCCGACTGGCATCATGACTCAACTATACTCAACTTGGCCATCGGAACTTCTCTTCTTGGCACCCAGTCTGAAAAACTGCACCATGGCCATGACCTTGATTACTCCACAGCTGCGGAATGTCACTTTCACCAGGAAATGGGGCGAAAAATGCCGAGGACGCAGGGCGCAACCATGCGCAATCCACACCTGGTGGTGGTGCCTTCGACCATCTTGGTCGTCCTCTCTCCCTCAGCTCCTGACTTCGGCTCCCGCGTAGTCGGGTCAAAACCACGTCCGACCCAGTTAGGACCTGTTTAGGACAACACTTCCAGAAGCAGACCCTGAAAGAGAGGCCAAGCACCTGTCATACTACCTGCTATATCTGTCATGGAAGAGATCGAATGGTGAGTGAAATTAGAGAATAAGGAGCTCTTGTCAGGGAACATTGAAAAAATATTGAATCCGTCAAAGGTTTTGTGAAGCTCTGTCTGGCACATTGGCAAATAGTAACGAACTAGCTATGTTCATGTTCCAGGAACCCTCTGTCGAAGTTATCAGCTAAAATACATTAAAATACAACATAGACTGCAACTCGTCGAATTCAAGGCAATTGAGGTATATAAGACAGTTCCCCAGAACTCTCTTCCTCAAAGTCTGATGACTCTACAACTCCACCTGCTGGAGGTATAGACAATGAATGTTGAATGTTGTCAAGCCTGAGCACAATCCTCACGCCCACCATGTGGTCCACCACCACGTGGTCTTTTTCGGTGGAAGCATTCTTTGGCTCTCTAGCTCTCGAGCTGAACACGAGTGAACTCAACGCAGCCAGCGGCCAACCTGGGCTGCCTGGCCGAACGCGTGAGGTCGTCGTGCGACTCACAGCTTGGCTGCGGCCGGGGAAGGGAAACTATCTGGGCACTTGGGACGTTGTAGACGCAACGCACCATGACCGCTCAACTTATGATCGAATCAACCAGTGAGTCCAGCAGTCCGAGACAGACTGGAGCTCGGACCAGGAACATGTTTCTCATTGGTTTTGCAGCTTCGCAGGCGAAGTCGTCACAAAGAGTTGCACCAAAATCCAGATGAACGGGAGGCTGCATGCGAAGTTGTGACTGACACTCTGATCAGTGCCGCTGTCCTACCTGAGAACATCATCACCGCTCTCATGACACATGTGCATCCGTCCTACAGTGCATGGGAACGAAACTAATTGAACTAAACCTAATACCTTTCAAGCAAAACAACAAAAAGACATGTGTGGACCTTCTCCGGCATACTCCTGCATATTACACCACACGCCACCACACTCATCATCCATGTACGAGCATGCTGACGTCACGACTGACGTCCCAATGCACCTCACGGGGGCGTTGAAAAGCTTTCTTAGCTTTGCCATACGCATTCCGTGCACTGCCGAATCCAACCAGCAACCGTTCACCGTCAAATCCAAAACACCGAAGACTCCGGCGTTTCGGCCGCAAGTCACCAGTAAACTGGTCAGGAAATGTGATGTCAGGAGCTATCGCTACTCCACAACTGATGTCATTTGGGCTTGAAACAATTGCTAAGCCAGAGCAACAATAAAATTCCAAACCGACAAATAAAACACATAAACAAACATAAATGAACAACATAAAGCAAGCGAGGAGAATTCAAAGAGCCCCTTCTTTTTGAGAAAGGCAAGCCATGGCCTGCCTGTATAGCCGCGCTTTTTTCATCAACGAGGCTGACTTCTTCACAGCACTCTCAGATTCGTCTTGGGAATCATGCTGAATGCTCTGGAAGGATGTGACTCTTTCTGCGGCCGAGCCACACGCGCCACGCGGGCTTCGGGTTGTGGGGTTGCGGACATTTGAATGCACAGGGCGGGTAACAAGGTGGTGGGGTGTGCAACACCAACGAGCCTTTCTGGTCAAACAAACCGGTTAATCCCTGCAAACGATTCTTGAAATGTAGGATGCAGCTGAATGAGAAGTTGCAGTGGACGTGCTAGGTGTGGGCCATGCATAGTGCGCATTCAAGGCAATATTTGACAGTGGTTTCAGGGTGTATATATATATATACATACACAAAAAATCATCAATATTAATAGAGGGAATTGAAAGAAAGCGAGCGAGCAAGCGAAAGAGAGAGAGAGAGACAAAGAGACAAAGACAGAGAGGAAAGAGAGAGAGAGAGAGAGATGCAAAAATGCGATGTTCCTTTCGAGGCTTTCGAGAAATGGCTTCCCTCCAAATAGTCCAAACGAGATGTCACTTGCCAGTACTGACCCCGTGATAGACATGTAAGTTCCCATTACAGTATTGGAAACCGTTTCTATCTATTTGGAGACCATCATTGTACTTGCCGCTGCCTGAGACGAGACCCCGAGTTCTGCCCTATGTTTCGGCGGCTCCCCACCGCGTCGACGCGAGCAGAGCTGCCGAAGTTGTCGATCAACCTGGGAGGCATCCGAACTCGAAATGGAGTCAATGGACTTTCACTCGTTGAGGTGATACGAAGACTGACTCCCAAGCCGTTTCCGGAAAATCGAGGTTAATCCGAACTGTTCACCGAAACCAATGAGCCCCCAAAAATGGTTACAGGTTGTCCACTGACTGGGTAGGATGAGATGATAGGTGCACTTTTCGAGACATCTGACTTTCTCTCTTTGGGCGCCTTTTCTGGCCACCCTCAGGTGGTGCAGGCCTCTCTGCTATCGGTACTTAGATGTGATTGGTTTCATACTTCGTGCTTTCAGAGGCCAAAGAAAAGGGTCACTGACCAACACAACAGCAAAGCAGGCCATGTTCTTTGGAGTTGACGATTGACACCTAGGACAACACCGCGCCCTCATTTTGGCCACCGCATGATCTTCAGAACGTTCGCAGGCCAAGCTGTGTGTTTAAAGCTGGTGAGATGCTCGTGCTGCATGTTCACCATGGCCTTCTAAAAAAGTTGTATCTCAGGACGTCTGAGGAACTTCAGAGTCTAATTACATGGCACAAAGCAATGAGGTCGAACATTAAGCAAACCCAAACACGATCACTTGGGACTGGCATGTTTACCGATCACTTGGGGTGGTTTCTGGGGTCCCATGGAGTGTGGAAAACCAAAGAATGGCTAGTCAGCTAGTCCTTGAGACGGATTCTTCAACGGTCGGACACAGCCATGGGCAAGAAGCCAACAAGGAATCGACAAGTAGATAGGCAAATGTTAGGACGATTTGATGGGCTAAATCCTCCACAAACTACCTGAGGATGCTCTTTTTGGATCCGCTTTTTTGTTGAGACGTTGCTGCAAGACCCAACATATGGTGGCCATAAATGATGACATGCTGCCAAGCCATTTCAAAACAACCATGCCTGCGTCTTGAAAGAATGAGATACCGATACCCTCTGACTCAAATATGTTGGTCTACATGATCCCTCATATATGTTGGTTCTTCATGGTTCTTCTGAGTTCTTCTCATCCGTTCTTGGGCCGCCCATCTTCCTGAAGCTCTCCTCGTTGGACATGCGCACCGGCCGCAACAACGTGCCTCCCAGCGTTCCCCAGTCAGGGTCCCCGGGTCCCCCCGTCACATTAGGTACCCAAATTCGTACAGCTCTTGAAGCACACATCCTTGGAGAAAATCCATGAATCGGCCCTGAGCACAGCTTAAGGACACGGGCATGGGCCCGTATTGATGTTGAGAAAACATCTATCATTGTCATTGGCACATGTAAACATACGTATAAATGATGTACAGTATACTTATACACATGTTCAGCAACATACAGCACGATACCTTTTGCCAAAAATGGAAACATGTCTGAGATGGAATCATCTTATAGCCGCGGCAAATCCCATCCCTCCCTTCATTTGGTTGCGACTTCTTGAAACAGCTTGGGGTCCAGGTCCCTGTTTCGTTGGTGTCTGAGGTTCTCTATGGCAAACCCTGTTCAGAAAGTCGGAGCGGTGAGCGCTTCAGTGCCTCAAACCTCCCAACTGCGATGACTCGCCTGCAGGGTACTTGGCTCTTTCCTGGTGCAGGGAGGGCTTCAGCCAAGTCTGTGAGGGTGTCCTCCATGCAAAATAAGACTTAAAAGAACATCGCGTTGAGAGGGTTACCATAAAATATTTTGAACACCAACAAAGGGTTTGAATTCTGTGTGAAGGAAAATTGGATGCCCGTGTCCTTACTCTGGATGTTTTTGGAAGCATGCTCTTGATGAACAAATATGGACTGATGAGAATCTCCATGCCCACAAGAACCAGAAGAAAGATGGGCGTTTGATCTTGCAAAAAGACTTGTGAACGCAGACAGGGGCCCCAAAGAGGGCCATGTTGAATCCTACACTTTCTTCTCAAGTCTTCCACATAGGCCACACCATGTGGTTCTGACTTGAACTTCAACTTCTGGCCGGTGGTTAGGGCTGGTTAGGGTAGCGTCTGTTCTTTGGAGACCGGCTCCCTCCGTCCGCTCACCACACCTGGTCGCGGACGATGGGCCCTCGGCGCGGCCGTTCACGCCTGGGATCGACCAGAGATGGGTCGGACGGACGGAGAACGGTGGGATGCTTGGCCAAGATTTGAGGTACAGTACAGACATGAATCAAAATCAAAGAGGCTGCTGCAAATAGATTCAAACATACAACACAAGACTGGCATCTGGAAAGGCCTTTATTGGTGAAAGGATGTGAGAGGCACAATCTTTCAAGGGCGACTTCGCACCAGGTGCTGGCCACTCACATTCGAGAACATCAAACGAGCGTGACCACATACATGGTATGCATACGATTGCATATTATGTAAATATATATACATATATATCCACCCGCCTCTTAAGTTCCGGCCATCAGCGGATGCTTCAGCATGCTCTTGCTCCTCCACCCAACGAAGGCTCCCAACCCTTTTCAACCGCCGGGTGCCTGCGCATCGTAAGGCTCATGGGGTTGACCATACTCACCTGCGACCCATGGGCAGGAGGCGAATGCCAAACAGTCTGCGGAGAGAGCCCAACCGCTGCCCACCAGTTCCGGGCTTGGAGTCCCGCCGGAGTGGGCACCCCGGACTGAGCCATTCCCTTTGGGAATTTGTGGGCATCTTCCATCGTTTCCGTGTTTCTCCTGAGCCCGCCTGAGCCCGATGCAAAGCGATTCGCCCCCTGTCCCATTGAGGCCCCCCTCCCTACCCAAAGAGGTCGTTCTTTCACGTAGTGCGCAGGCTGAAGGCCAGGATCCAAGTTGCTGAGAGCAGCGGGGTCAACCGTTCAATTCAACTAGACCGCGAGCCCTCAGCTGTGGAAGAGAGGATTCTTCGAATCATAAAGGTCCATGAAGATCCGTGTCTCCAGGAGATCCGTGTCTCCAGGTGTTGCCTGCAGAGAAAGAAGATTCTTGAAAGACATATTTTACATGAAACACATCGGAGTGGTTCTCCTCAATCGAAGAACATGTTCTTTTGTTAAATGTGTTGTGGTGCCTCACGGGAGTGTGAAAATGATGTAGGAACGTTCTTGGCAACAAAGCTACCCCCAAGGCCCAAAGCTTGCATCTGTTGCATCGACCATATGTCTCGAACCCAAAAGTCCTCAAAGTGACATGGCAGAATGTCATGGCATGCGACTCAAGGGGCCCCCATGCGACTCAGGGGATTCTAGACTGATGGTTTCGACTCGCTGAAGAACCCAGATCCCAGGCATGCCTTCAGGTCAAATGCAAAACAATCAACAAAAGAATAGGGACCAAAAAAGAACTCACCCGATTTCTGTCCAATTGCTGAGCGGTACCCCCAGTTGTGGCTGTTTGAGAAGCTACAAGACGGCACACCTTGGTACTGATTCATGTTGAGTTGAAATCAAGGTCTTTCTGTTGTTTCCCTTTTGGAGAATATCAAACCAAGACCTCAGAAGACTGAGGCTTTACCACCCTCAACCGCCAAGGAGGTATTCTGTTCTTGATGTTGACTTAACCTCCAGTGATACTGGCAGTGATATGCTTTCAGGGCTGGAAGGCAGGTCCAAGTACTTGTGCAAATAAGAGCATCATCTGACAGAGTCATTATAGTACAGCTTAGTACAGCTCACTCAACGAATGCACACAAAAGCCGTTATTGCAGTATACATTATTCAATAATATGGAATACTAAATTCAGGAGTTACTCTTATGGCTTCGACACCACCCGCAGGCATCGAATCTTTGTCATGCACACAAGCAATGCATGTAAATGATCTGTAAGAGGTCTGTCCATGTCCACATCGTCTTCTTCCTCTGGCTGTCGCCATCAACCCATCAAGGGCGCTCGATGGCTCGACGAGATTGGTTTCCCACCAAGCAATTCTTGCTAGGGGAAAAGGCAGTTCTGACTGGGCAGAACGACTAGCGGCTAAGCTAGCTAGCACACTGTCTTGATGTTTGGGAACTCGCCCAAACGACAATGTCACTGCCATAAAACTTCATGCACAATCTCTGAAGCAAAAAACACACAATCCGGCGAAGGACCAGCAACCCTCAGGACCAGCACATCGATGTGTTTCAGTTGTTTCTCCACCGTCCCCTGAAAGTTCGGTCGTGTCCCTTGTCACATCGGTCGTGACCTGTCAACACGTTCATGTCCACGGAAGTCTTCAGCTGCTTGGAGCGATGTCACCCAAAGCAGCTAAGCAAATTCGTGCAAATGATATGTTATGATTCCTTTGTTGCGAACTTCTACCAAGCACTTCAAGCGATGAAGTGACTAAGTGGATGGAGAACAATCGGATAATTCCGACATGATTGCTATCTAACACCCACTCTCTACCCCAGGATTTTCCTTGCTAAATGTCTTGTTGGGACTTTCTCGACAAAGGTTTTGCCACTTCGCCGGCATCCGCGCCTCATGATCACCCACTTTCTCACTGTGTGCAGGAGTCATTGGCCAAGAGACATATCCTACCTCCAGTCCGACCCTCTTCTGGGAGTACACCTCCAAAAGCGTCTTTCATACCCAGACTCTATGGAGTTTAATAACAACCTCATTCTACTGGATCTTCTTGGCCGTCACATCCCAGTTGACAAATTCTACCAGTTCCAAGAAGAAACTAGATGTCTATATACAATATAGTATTTATTATATGTATTATATAATAATATATATTATTAAGATGTGAAAAAAACATGTTTAAACAACATGTGTGCGTTACAATCGTTACATTCATTGATTCTACAAAAAAATGCCAGCACCATCTACCTCACAATCGCTGGAACCACGAATGGCCATGACAAGCGCAGCGAGGGAAAGGAGTGTAGACTGGAAAGGCTCAATAGCCTATCACACCTTTTTCTTTCAATTGGTAAAGCAGCGCTGCGGTCTTTTGATCCCCAAGATCTTCAGGCACTGCCTGACTGTGCAAATACAGGGAATGATGACGTGACAACGTATCCAGAGCCATCCTGGAAAAGTCATTTGTTTATTTATATTTCTGAGAACCTGTAATTAGAACTTTATAACGCCTGTGTCATGCCATGATCATGAGCTAGCTAGGTCTTAATATCAGAAAACCCAACCGTTCATGTTTGATGTGGCGGTTGCCGCTCCAATGGTTCATCGAACACCGGCAATCAGTCTTTGGGCATAAGACTCCCAAGTTGCCCGTCTCTTCTTGTTTGGTAACAAATCTAGTTGGTGGAGTCACCTAATAGCATCTATTAGCAATGGCCTCCAACCTACTAGCGATGGCCTCCAACCTAATAGCAATGGCCACTGTACTAGCGATGGCCTCCAACCTATGAGTCAGTGGGATCTGAAACCACCACCCAGCAATGGTTCTGATGATTACAAACGAGAACTTTCTCACGCGAGACTGCAGCTCCGCTCTGCCCCAACGCCTCTTGCATCAAAAGTATGGCCGCGTTTTGGCTTCAGGGTTCTATCCACCAAGACGCAGGTATGCTGGCTGGCAGCATAGAATATTCACCATCGCCAGCAAAAATGCAGCTGCCTTTTTTCCAACGGTGCTTCTTTTGATGCAGAATGAGCCATGTGGTCTGCAAAGTCGTATAGGTATGTAATGGTATGTACATTTTTAGGCGAAATGTTAGTTCTCACGAGTGTAGACTTGTCTGTGAGCGGCCGGCTGGGGATATGCACCACACTCTGTGCCCCAAAAATCTGCATCCTGCCAGCATGCAACCGGCCAAGAAATCTTTAGATTTGGTCAGAAGTCCCTCGAAACAATCCCACCACACTCGGGTCAAAGGTTCTGTACTGTATGGACTTCTGCCGCGGGCTGATGAGGGCCGCGGTAAAGGACTCCTGAGACATCCCTTCTGGATCTTCTCCAGAAAGAAAACAAATTGTATGACCAGGAGCCCAAAAGATAAATCTGATTATATAAAGAGGAGGATGGTGGTTATCAATTTGTACCATCCCGATCAGGGCTTTGACAGTGCAGCCTTTAGGTTTAAAGCTAATAAGCCCTTTATTCAGGGCTGAAAACTCCAATAGTATGTAAGACATTGTAAGACTGAAATAGACTGAAAGAGACTGAAAGCTGTTGCTGTTTATTTCGCTCCGCAGTGAGGACCACGGAGAAGAAGAGGATCAAAAGGATCACATTTCATGATGTGAATCCATCAGCTGGTGCAATGTCACACTCAAATGTTTTCCAGCAACTGCACTTTTGAAGGCCAAAGCTCCGCCATCTGTCAGGGCTTGACCACAATTGGGTGATGCACGTTTCACACAACTGGTCTGGTTCAATCGCTGGCGCAATGTGGACCGACCCATCCGACTCATAGGAAAGGCTTGCCAGGTAGGTCACAGTCCTTGTCTCAAGCAAGACCGGAAGCTACTTTGGCATACTTAGGCAGTGATAAACATCATAAAGCGTCCTTGGATTCGTCCACAAACATGTTGTTTTGAAAGGGCCCAGTGGATACTTTAGGAGTTCAAAATTATTCAAACTACTGGTATGAACACACCCAGCAAGTTTGTTGAACACAAAATATCAGTGGAGCTCGCTTAATGTTGATTGCTTGAAACATCTTGAAACCAATGTGTGTGCATGTTTTGCCAGTTTTGAATGAAATATATACTTCCCGCACAGTCAAACACTTGGACTCCAAACCAGCTAAATTCACCACATCTTCTTCAGAAACCGCATCATCTTCGCTGCTCTCCCCGAGAGCCAAACTCCATCTCCTCAAACTCAAAAGAGCTGATTTGCATGCTTGTGCAATGGCAGTGGTCAATAACTCAAGACTCGCCGGCTGGAGCCGAAAACATCTTCGGAAGTGACAAAAAAGGGTCTCGTCTCCAGGATGAACACTAGGACGGAGCCTCTGAGAGGGAAGTGTAGCCCTCACCTCTCAAAGGATCGACCCAAATTCCCAAATCTCAGAAAACACCGCTGGCCAGGCCCAGCAGGGAGACTGCTAAGTGGCCAACACGTGGAGAATGCCACGGGTGGATTTCCACCACTCTGCGGTCGTTGCGGCTTTTTGGGGGTAGAGCTTCGATGAGTTCTGTGTGGCTCTGCGAAGGAATGACAACTTCCCCCAGGCGCAAACGCCCAGGTGATACGATTTCGATCGGTGCAACGTTGGGTCCTCAGGTGCCCTAGCCATGTGGATTCGGAGAAGAAGCTATATTGACACATATTGACGCGTTCAAGTCGTCCAAATCATGATGTCCGTCCACCAAATCATATGAGCTTTCTATTGAATGACAGAACAACGAAGCTTTGGAGTGGTCCTCATATATACATATATATATATATCGTTCAGAAAGCTTTGAGGACCCACCAGAGTCATGTGTGATGCCTATCGTTCGCATCCCATGTCTGACGACTCACTGCTGCTCTGCATGCGCTGAAGTGAGCGTAGAAGATGGCGCAATTCCGCTCCATCCTGCGCCTTCAAATGCTTTCCAAATGATTCACGTGGAGATTTTGATAATGCCGGGGCAGCGTACTGCGCTAGTCACATATCCTCCAAATACTCGGACTCGTTCTCCCTGTCTCAAAGACAGCTTCTAGTGCAATCAATCAAGCTGATTGATGTCGATCGTATGGTTTGACCCGAACCTTGTGAAATCAGTCTCGGTTGTTCCGTTCACTTCCTTCAGTCACATGTCGTCACAGCACATGCCTCCACTGGGGCTGGCTGGTGAAACGTGCCATGACTCAAACTCATTCAAAGTACCTATACATTCTGTAGACTCTAGGATACCCCATACAAACAAATAGGCCTCCACATGTAGTTGTAGAAAAAGGATTAAAGGACTTGATGTCGCTTTTCCTCCATGACCACATCAGCTTCCGTTCCAGGATGTTACAAGGCAATCCCTTCTGGCAGTGAGGGGAATGGATGAAACCAACTCCAAATCAAAGGCATCAGTGGCATGGAATCCTACAGCAATGGCATCTGTGCATCCTGCGTTTGATCCTTGTGAATCCTCGTGTTTCAGGAACTTGGGACTGAGGCTGCACCAAAAAGACTAAAATATTAGAAGATCTGGAGAAAAAAAAGAAACAACTTAAGTCAGCCCTAGAAGACTGGCTCGCTTGGGGCAGGTGGACTTTTTGGAACCTTCACCTTCTTGCGGCCAAGTCTCAGTCTGACCAGCCGCCACACCGAGGGGTGGAGCGAGGGAAGGAGCTGGTGCTGGTACTCGTGTGGCATGTGCCTCGATGACATATCCTTCCCGCGCCTTGCGCAAGAGCTTGCCACTGGGTGGCTCCAAGCCTCGGAGCGTTCGGACGCGACGAACGGGGCTCCTGGCATCGCGACTCGAACGGAGCATTCTTACGAACAAGAAGCTAGTAACGGTTGGCTCCGGGGTAGGACCTACGGAGTGTCCGGGTCTTGCCACCGACGGACGAACAGAAAGAACCCCCAAACCGGTAGAGGACGGAGGTTTCTAGCGATTTAGTCTGTGAATCCCAAAAACCGCAGCAAGCCCCC